ATGAGACCAGAATCGAGCTCTTTGGCATCAACTCAACTCGCCGTGTTTGGAGGAGGAGGAATGCTGCCTATGATCCCAAGAACACCATCCCCACGTCAAACATGGAGGTGGAAACATTATGCTTTGGGGGTGTTTTTCTGGGGACAGGACAACTTCACCGCATCAAAGGGACGATGGACGGGGCCATATACCGTCAAATCTTGGGTGAGAACCTCCTTCCCTCAGCCAGGGCATTGAAAATGGGTTGTGGATGGGTATTCCAGCATGACAATGACCCAAAACACACAGCCAAGGCAACAAAGGAGTGGCTCAAGAATAAGCACATTATGGTCCTGGAGTGGCCTAGCCAGTCTCCAGACCTTAATCCCATAGAAAATCTGTGGCGGGAGCTGAAGGTTCGAGTTGCCAAACGTCAGGCTCGAAACCTTAATGACTTGGAGAAGATCTGCAAAGAGGAGTGGGACAAAATCCCTCCTGAGATGTGTGCAAACCTGGTGGCCAACTACAAGAAACGTCTGACCTCTGTGATTGCCAACAAGGGTTTTGCCACCAAGAACTAAGTCATGTTTTGCAGAGGGGTCAAATACTTATTTATATTTTTATACATGCGTTTTTCTGGATTTTTGTTGTTGTTATTCTGTCTCTCACTGTTCAAATAAACCTACCATTAAAATTATAGACTGATCATTTCTTTGTCAGTGGGCAAACGTACAAAATCAGCAGGGGATCAAATACTTTTTTCCCTCACTGTAGGTGCCAGGCACACCGGTTTGTGTCAAGAACTGCAACGCTGCTGGGTTTTTCACGTTTAACAGTTTCCAGTGTGTATTAAGAATGGTCCACCATCCAAAGGAAACTGGAAGGGGATACCTAGTCAGTTGCACAACTCAATGCATTCAACCGAAACTTGTCTTCCGCATTTAACCCAACTCCTCTGAATCAGAGGACGTCCAGCCAACTTGACAGAACTGTTGGAAGCATTGGCGTCAACATGGGCCAGTGTCCCTATTAGGAAGATCTTCTTAATGTTTTGTACACTCAGTGTATATGCACTACTGTAAGATTTGATACAGTTTTATTGTTTTTGTTAGTCATACTACACAATTCCTTGTTTTTGTCATTTTTTAAGCTTCTGCATTGCCCTCGTCTACAGCAGGGTCTCCCAAACCCAGTCCTGGAGCACCCTTTGGTGCACGTTTTGGTTTTTGCCCTAACACTACACAGCTGATTCAAATAAACACAACTTGATAATGAGTTGGTTATTTGAATCAGCTGTGTAGTGCTAGGGCAAAACCAAAATGTGCGTTCAGGGGGGACCCCAGGACCGAGTTTGGGAAACCCTGGTCTACAGTATACTACAATTCCCAGGATGAATTTCACCTCCCAGAATGCAATACTCTGCTCAGTCTGCACTTAGCTTACCTGGCTAGCAGACAGACAAAGCTTATGTCATAAGTTGAGTGCATTTCACATTACTTTTGGGTTGTAATCATGTTATAATTGTTGCATGAATATCATACTGAATATATGTTCATGTCATTGTCACCAATCAAATGCATTCCACTCAAAAATAATTTGAATTTAGATGTTAACTAATGCTAAGTTACTGTATCTGATGGTTAGCTAGCATGCTAGCTAGCCTAACTGCTACATCCGAAATAAGAGTGTTTGCACCACTTCATAACCAGTTATTATGCTGTTAGTATAAACTGAGTGTACAAAACATTAGGGAACACCTGCTCTTTCCATGACATAGACTGACCAGGTGAAAGCTATGATCCCTTATTGATGTCACTTGTTAAATCCACTTCAATCAGAGTAGATGAAGGGTAGGAGACTGGTTAAAGAAGGAATTTTAAGCCTTGAGACAATTGAGACATGGATTGTGTATGTGTGCCATTGAGGTTGAATTGGCAAGACAAACGAGTTAAGTCCCTTTGAACGAGTTATGCTATTAGGTGCCACGCGCACCGGCTTGAGTGTGTCAAGAACTGCAACGCTGCTGGGTTTTTCACGCTCAACAGTTTCCCGTGTGTATCAAGAATGGTTCACCACCCAAAGGACATCCAGCCAACTTGACACAACTGTGGGAAGCATTGAAGTCAACATGGGCCAGCATCCCTGTGGAACACTTTCAACACCTTGTAGAGTCCATGCCCCGACGAATTGAGGCTGTTCTGAGGGAAAAAGGGGGTGCAACTCAATATTAGGAAGGTGTTCCTAATGTTTTGTACACTCAGTGTATATTATAAACCTCCACACACACTAGACTTGCAGACTGTAGAGAAAATCTGGGCTCCCTCTGGTATGAGCAGGAAAAACACAGTCAGAGCCCAGGCTGGTGTTGAAGGTAAACTCACACCAGGTCATGAAACATCATACTAACTGCACAGCAAAGTACGGGGTCCGTTTTGGAAGCTAAAATCAACGACCACCCATAGCAGCCTTAAACATACTGATAAAAAAAAAAATCCTAAATTACAAAAGTGAAATATCAAACAATAAAATACAAATTTAGGCCCCCACCTACTATTTAAAGCTTTAAAAACAGGGCTCATAACAAAGCCAAACAAAACACAGTGTGGGAGGAACTTCATAATACAGCCAATCATATTGTGTAGCCTGGCTGGGCCACATAACCAGCTAAGCATAACAATTATTACGGTACCGTATCATATGAACAGGTATACACAGCCAAACTATAAAGACTTGATCCCAAACCTTCCATCAATAAATCAAAACAGGTGCATAAGGTTATTAGCCAAGCGGAACCAGCCTGATGCTGTGTTCACCATTTTATTTGAAGTGAAAAAGAATGGTGAACGGAGCCATCAGGCTGGTTCCACCAGGCTATGAAGTTACCTGCAGCCCTATTTATCCAGCATAGACAAACAAATTCCAACTTTAGACCAACAGATTTTCATTTAACTCCATAGTGAACAAAATGTTATTTGAGTGTGTAAAATGGGTCAGGAGCTCCAGGTGCATTACCTTTCTGTGTCTGGGCTGCGCTTCAATCTCCTAAACAGCTGTGATAAGTCAACTGGCCCATCTGCTCTGAGATAGGGAAGGCAATAACTTACCTGCTGGCCCACATCACACACTCATCCCCTAAAGGCACTACGGCCCCCGGCTGGAAGATCATCCTATTACTGCCATCTCCACTCCACTGTGTGTGTGTGTGTGTGTGTGTGTGTGTGTGTGTGTGTGTGTGTGTGTGTGTGTGTGTGTGTGTGTGTGTGTGTGTGTGTGTGTGTGTGTGTGAGAGAGAGAGAGATAGCTGATCCCATCCTTACCGACTGCTCTCTGCGATAAGACATGTGGCTCCGAGTCTCTCTGATGAAAGTCTGAATGCTGATAAAGTGATAGCAAGGGATATGATACTATCTAATACCTCCTAAGGTCTGCTGCCCAATCCAGTTCAACACATTGCAGCCTTGTCCCTTTTCTAAACCCCCCTTTTGGGTGTAAGAAAATATAGCAAGATGATTAACCTAGTAGTCTCATGTCAGATAACTTGTGACACTGGTCCTCAAGTTTGAAGTAGGCTATATTTGCAAGACTCCCTGTAGAGCCACCTGAACCTCCAAATGATCAACACACTGGATTTGCTAATCAGAGCACACAGAGTGAGTTGAGTACATCCACATAGTGAGAGATCTGTGGGAATGCGCAGGTGCTTAGTGTAGCCTACATGCTCCAGACCAAGCCCTTTGTCTGGGGGTCAGTGGGGCCTGCCCTTAACCCCTGCTGTACTCACATTAAACACTACAGTACCCTCCCTGTCTAAGCTGTTCTTACCCAGCAGAACCAGCAGAACCGTTCCATTAGAACTGAACCTCCCACCCGCTCAAACAGGGCCTGTTACATTCCAGCTCCACCACCCACTGGCCAGGAGCTGGTGCCCACTCAGGCAAACACAAGAGTTAGGCACACTGTAGAGCAGAGCTGGCCATATCATAGCCAATGAAAGTCTTTTCATCTTGCAACCACATGAAGAGGCAGAGGAAGAGTGGAACACAATGTTAGGACTAACTAACTAACTTCCTTCATACTGGATGCAAAGAGATAAAAAGGTGTCCATGAGTTCATCTGACGCTAGGGAAGTAGATAAAGGGCTTGATTGCCATTTTCCGAAGTATCCCTTTAACGTCAGTCATGCGTTCCCCCATAAATGTAGAGGTAAGGGGGGAGAGGGAGAGATGATGAAAGAGAGAGATAATGACTGACCAAGACTCAGAGAACAAAATTAGAGAGAGCGAGAAAGAAAGAGAGCGAGAGAGTGGGTGAGAGAAAGAGGAAGAGAGAACGGTGAGAGAGAAAGAGAGAGGGGAAGAGAGATTCAGCACAACAAGCAACACTGTTTTCACGCTTGTGGGCCAAGAGAAATGAACCTCAACATTAGAAACCTTGTTATACAGTAGATATGATAAATTAGAGCTTTGGGTACATAAACATTACATTTACATTTTAGTCATTTAGCAGATGCTCTTATCCAGAGCAACTTACAGGAGTAATTAGGGTTAAGTGCCTTGCTCAAGGGAACATCAACAGATTTTTCACCTAGTCGGCTCGGGGATTAGAACCAGCGACCTTTCGGTTACTGGCACAACTCTCTTAACCACTAAGCTACCTGCCGCCCCATCACAGCAGAACTACAGTCAGACTAACCCACAACCCTGGCCAAAGGAAAATAAATGGGCAGAAATGCCACCAACTCAAACAAAATTCAGCTTAAAATGATGAGAAAATAAGAACAGATACAGCAGACTACAGATCAGAGGTGACTTAGGTCAGAAAAAAATTATAAAACCCATTCTCTAGTCTCCGCCTTTTCTATATCCCCTGTGCCTACATGAACCATAATTCTAACCCCAGCCAAACGACGACCCTCTTTAAAATCCAAAAAAAAACCGGAACTATCTAACTGAATCATGTGAAATTTGACTTTTCAACAGTGTTATAATACTTTTACTATAACTGTTCCGGCCCAGGTGTACTCACTGGGTCTGTGCCAGGCAGCCTGGAGCTAGGGTAGGTTGGGAGTCTGGGATGCGCTGCAGGTTAGTGAGCTCTAGTATGTCCACCTGAACATCAGTGGTGTGTCCTGGCAGAGGCTGCAGCACAGTTAAGATCTTCTCCACCAGGCTGTCACCATGGTGACCAGCAGCTCCTGAGGACAAGGACAAACATCGAGAAATGTAAACCAACAACATAGTCCAAGTAAACATGAACTTGTGTGTAAATCGAATAGAATTGGGAGTACGGAAGTGTCACAATCAAATACCCTTTCTGTTAGGAAGGGAGGTGCAGCAAGATTATGTAATTGAGATGTCGGGAAAGTGTGCATATGTGTTTCAGTTTGACTCTGCTGCAGCTCGACATGTGTATGGACATCAGAAATTGTACAAGACTGTGGCATGCACCTGTTAGATCCAGTGTCCTGTCGATGAAGACGATGGATGCTTTATTGGGGGCAGTCTTTCTGCGGCTTTTGGCTTGAGGATGATTGGCCAGTTCCCCAGCGATGAGACGGCTCATTGGACCCACTGCGAAGCTCTCCTCCCGGGTGCTGGTGGACTCAAACATGGAATTAACCGCAGAGGCCAAGGTTTTAATTTCAATCTGCAACGCCGGAGTAAGAGATTGCATGTCAACATCAGTCAAACTGACAAACCTCTTCTTCTCTGGTCGCTTTATATTGATGGTCTTGAGGTCCTGTGGCAACAGCGGGAACAGGTGCGCGAAGGTTGGCGCGAGAAGGAGCTGTGGTGACACCGGAGCGAAGACCACGGGCGCATGTATGACTTCAGCGGTGTAGTTCATGTCTCCCATCCATTCGCTCAGCTTCTCTTCAAACTGCTCGAACACAGGGTTCCCCTCTAATTCAGCAGTGACATTGTTAGCGAGGAGGTGTATAGAGTGGGCTACGGTGGTGAAAACAACACAATACTGAAAGTGACTGAGGCCAATAATGTCTTTGATAATGTCAGCTGTCCTCCCCTTCAGCAGAGTGCTCACCACAAACACAGCCTTTGGTTCGTTTTCACCACCGGCTTCGAAGCTTGAAAACTCTTTTAAATTACGAGCACCAGCCTCAAATACACTGGTAGCTCCACCGTTCCAATGAAGACTCTCAGCACACTTGTCGTCCATGAAAACAACAGCTTTCTTTACCTTTGACAACACTTTGTCCCACATCTGACCGGGGAAACACGTAAATGCCTCAATCGGTAACATTTTGTAAATGAAACTGTCGTTTAGACCGATCGACAAATACAAGATTTCTATATAATTGTCAGGCAGAAGCCATTTCAAAACAACAACACAAACACATGCGAGTCTCTTAATAGTGATGTGGCATTACACGTCGCGACAGATACACGTCATCATGCATCTGCTGCGCCGGTTTCATGTGGGAATGTGCTGCATTTGCTATTTCTTACAAACTGAAATCAGACTAATTTGAGTTTCCTCATAATAGCTATATACTATCCACACTACACAAAAATACATTTATTTTTTGAGTAAATTGAAAAAAATGAGAAAAAAATACATAAATAAAGTTATACTTCAGAAACAACGCTAGCTTGTTTGACACTGGCAAATACTGTACTACTGGGGATATTTTAAGAAATTGATACATTGTCTCATCTCGAGACATACTGACCAATGGTAGTCCTGTTTCTTCCAACGTGGATTTACGTCGGGTGAAAGGTCCCTATAGAAACGTGTGTGGGTAAAGTAAACTGTCACTTTTTTTTTTCCTCCAATAAAGGTTTATTTTACGCCTGTTACGTTAGGTTACCAAATACCGAAAAGGTGACACGCCGTCCTATTCCGTTATTTTTCAAAATCCCCGTTATAGCTAACAGTTTGACATTTTAATATCTGTTCTGTGAAAATCTCAAGTTTGGCGAAATAACTGTAATTTCATTTCATTGCCAGTTATTGTTTTTGATAGAATAACTGTTAAGTTGTGATTCACAGAAGAAGTGACTGAATTTGGGTAGACATGTCCGCAGAAATGGACAAAGCAACTGATGCAAGCAGGGGCGATGAAGAAGAATGGTTATATGGAGGTATGCTAGTCAAAACAGATTTGATGACACTATCTAGCTCATAAATAGTTACATTTTCTGATGTCCACTGTTCTGTGTCTGGCAAACTTGAAAGTACGTGAGCTATACAGTTCTGTTAGCTAGCAAGCTAACCACAACACCAGAAACAACACGTGCACCAGTTTACCACGTTGACAGTTGTTGGGGATGTTTTTTTTCCTCTTGCTAAGCAGAAGGAATGATTGAGTTCCAGCATTTAGATATTTGGAGACTGTCATTTTGTATGTTTTGGTTTTGAAGTGTGTGTATGATGCAAACATGCTGATGCATCTTCTCTGTGACAGATGAGAGTGAGGAGAAGGCAGAGGAAGAGGCACCTAATAGGTACGTGCCTGGTGACAGGTAAAACATCCACTGTTAAACTGTCTGTTTGTACATAGCAGACAGTCACCTGGCTGTCTGTCCTATTCCGTCCTCAATTTACCACTTACCTAGATCTCAAATATGTACTGAGCATACCTGCAAACCAGACCTACACTAGACTACACTGTTAAATTGTTCCTTTTGTAAAATACTTATGCCCACATAAATTAGGTGTGTATATACAGTACCAGTCAAAAGTTTGGACACACCTACTCATTCCAGGGTTTTACTGCATTTTTACTATTTTCTACATTGTGGAATAATAGTGAAGACATCAAAACTATGAAATAACACATGGAATCATGTAGTAACCAAAAAAGTGTTAAACAAATCAAATTATATTTTATATTTGAGATTCTTCAAATAACCACCGTTTGCCTTGATGACAGTTTTGCACACTCTTGGCATTCTCTCAACCAGCTTCACCTGGAATGCTTTTCCAACCATCTTGAAGGAGTTCCCACATATGCTGAACACTTGTTGGCTGCTTTTCCTTCACTCTGCGGTCCGACTCATCCCAAACCATCTCAATTTGGTTGTGGTCGGGGGTTTGTGGAGGCCAGGTCATCTATTACAGCACTCCATTACTCTCCTTCTTGGTAAAATAGCCCTTACACAGCCTGGAGGTGTGTTGAGTCATTGTCCTGTTGAAAAATAAATGATAGTCTCACTAAGCCCAAACCAGATGGGATGGCGTGTTGCTGCAGAATGCTGTGGTAGCCATGCTCGTTAAGGGTGCCTTGAATTCTAAATAAATCACAGACAGTGTCATCAGCAAAGCACCCCCACACCATAACACCTCCTCCTCCATGCTTTACGGTGGGAAATACACATGCGGAGATCATCCGTTCACCCACACTGCGTCTCACAAAGACACGGCGGTTGGAACCAAAAATCTCCAATTTGGACTCCAGACCAAAGGACACATTTTCACCAGTCTAATGTCCATTGCTCGTGTTTCTTGGCCCAAGCAAGTCTCTTCTTATTATTGGTGTCCTTTAGTAGTGGTTTCTTTGCAGCAATTCGACCATGAAGGCCTGATTCACACAGTCTCCTCTGAACGGTTGATGTTGAGATGTGTCTGTTACTTGAACTCTGTGAAGCATTTTTTGGAGCTGCAGTTTCTGAGGCTGGTAACTCTAATGAACTTATCCTCTGCAGCAGAGGTAACTCTGGGTCTTCCATTCCTGTAGCGGTCCTCATGAGAGCTAGTTTCATCATAGCGCTTGATGGTTTTTGCGACTGCACTTGAAGAAACTTTCAAAGTTCTTGAAATGTTCCGTATTGACTGACCTTCATGTCTTGAAGTAATGATGGGCACAGACACACATTCACACATTATTTATTTATACCTGTCTTACATACTTGTTTTGTGCCACTTACACAAATGACACCTTTTCAGCTTTCTACACAAATATAGTAATCACGCGTCTATGTTATGCTCTTTGAGATGGACAACATATAGCCACACTATTCACTCTTAGTCAGCTAGTACTGATTCTGCAAATCTGTTTTATTACACCGGATTCTCCAGCTTCATCTCCCATGTTTGCACTAATGATTCTTGCGTTCAAACCATTTTGACCATGAGTGATCATTTACGACAGTAAGCAGTGAACTCATTCGAAATAAGATGGGCTGGCAGCTTCATTCCCCATTAGGACCAATTGTGCTTTATTAATGAAGCGTTCAGATTTAATGCACTTTTCACTGCTCAATAATGACTGAGTGATATCATAATCGTTATCTCTGGGTTGAGTGTGTCTGACGCCACTGTGCGTGCAATGCCTGAAATGTGCGGCCAGTCAAGTGGAACATTAAGAACTATTTGGATGCTCGTTAAATCCGTGGCAGGGCAGGCACTGTTTGTTTGTGAATGGGGTAAAGTGGATCTAAGCCATCATTAGATAGGGGCTCTGATGGTCGTTGCGTTGGGCTTTGTTAAAGCGTATCGCCTCGGAGTAAACGCAGCATGATTAATCAATTAGGCTACAGTTACTTCACCTACGCCACAGCCCTCTGAGTCTGTGTGTTTGTGTCGCAACATGCCTCGGGGAGCATGTTATCTAAATGATGACTTAACTAGCACATCTATCAGGCTCTGGTTCACTTAAAGAAATGATGAAGAGAGATGACCCTTTTCAGAATCAAACAGTCTCTCTTTGAGCTGCTCGACCATTACGTTACATTAGGGATACTTCAGGCAATAGGCTGTCATTTTACATGCATCCCTTTACAAGGAAATGTATGTAGTGATATTCCTGTTTGCAAATCTCTTAACTTTCCCTTTATTGTCTATTCTTCAAATGTTACAAAAGTCTCAGTTTAAGTTGACGTTGTGGTCCTAGTGATGTTGTGTTTTTTTCACAGTGTAAAGGCCCAGCCGACTGCTGAGGAGGTCCATGAGAATGGAGTAGTGAAGCAGGTACCTATTGCTGAGTGTTATGGAGGAGTCAACCTCTTCTGAACATGTTTCACCTGTTGGAATGGCAACCCATCATGGAATTCCCTCAGAACCCTACTTTCTACTTGGATTATTCCTCTTTAACTGTGTGTGTTATTCATGTAAGCATGCTTTTATGAATGTATGTTGTCTTTGTGTTTCTGTAATGTCAGGATACAGGCCAGGAAGATGAAGAAAGTGACAGCGACAGTGAGGATGATGATGACGTGTGTGTAACCATTGGCGATATAAAGACCGGAGGCTCGTCTCAGCCTTTCAGGTGAGTATCTAGATAACAGCGAGGTGTTAACCTCTTAGATGTGAGGTCCCCTTTTTATACCTGCGTGGTTCTGGTATCGTTTCCGACCTACATTTTTGCTTATAAATCGATCTGTGGATACTGTAGATCGAAATGGCTTGCATTGTGCGATAGCCCTGTTTCCCACAGACACAGTAGTATTACTAAGCCTGTATGACGTAGGATGTGAAATCTGAAACCACTTGAAGCTGGGATGTCCCTCCTACCATTTTAATTTGCTCTTCCGACTGTCCATCAACACCTGGCTGAATCCTATATCACAGCCACGGACAAAGCACATGCCTGCAATCATTACATCATAGCGCAGCAGGAGAGAGTGGTTTCATCACGGTAGCACATTCAGAGATGGACTTATAGCCATTAATCCAAAATAATTACTAGATTTTAAACAAGCACTTTCTGTTTGTCATAGATGGACAAGATTAATATGAGATGAAAGGCGAGTTCAGGAAGCCAAGCTAGAGCTCTGTGAGACGTTCACAGCGATGTGGGCAGACGTTTTGATCAAGAGAGACCTTTAGAAAATATGCAAATGTTCTCTAACACTAAACAAATATGTATTTTACAGTTATAAGGAAGGTGTAATTTTATAATTTGATTATGCTATGTTTAGAAAGCGTATAAGTCATTTCAAGCCTTATTCATACAGTTTTGTTGAATAGGAAATACATCATAAAATATTTCATATTTTCATCATATTTGTACTGTGTACTTGAGCTTGTGTCCTCAATAGTGACTACACCTCAACAATTTATGACTATTTTTACCAGAAAGGTGAGATTTTAACCTTTCTTTGAGTATGCAGCATTACTAGTTATTGTTTAGGGCCCTCTCATGATAAATAATTACTTTTGGGGATTACGTAGATTACATTTTCGATTACATTAGTTATATTTAACTGGTTTTAAATATAGCAGTGTGTTACTGTCCTGCAATCTGGATTAGTTTTGATGCTCCAATTTGAGTTGAGAAGAGCATAATATATTAGACCCTGTACATTTTAGGTGGAAAACCCTTTTGTAGAGAGCTTTCTTTCACCTGGCTGTCGGTGCAACTGACATCAATTGCTGTTGCCTCTCCTTTGTCAGATAATTTTATGAGTCATGATTATGGTTCCATGTTACAGTATGCATCTTTGGCAGCATTATTTCTCACCACCCATGTCACTTTCAGGGGTCTTCAAAGCACATTCCCCCGCATGAGTCATGGGCAGCATTTACACAGGCAGCCCAATTCTGATCTTTTTTTTCAATAATTGGTCTTTTGACCAATCAGATCAGCTCTGAGAAAGAGCTGTGAAAACATCAGATGTGATTGGTCAAAAGACCAATTAGTCTAAAAAATATCAGAATTGGGCTGCCTGTGTAAACGCAGCATGTCTCTCAGTGTGTGTACCCTTCTTGTGGTGGTGATGATTTTTGCGTGTGTGTGTGTGTTTGTTTTTCTTTAATTGTGTAGTGCCTTTGGAGCCACGCCAGTTAATCTCAACATTAAGGCCGCAGGGAGAACACATGCGTCAGGTAATCACCCCTCACCTATTCCAGACTTCTGACCTTAGAAGTGAGTGTACAAAACATTAAGACCACCAGCTCTTTCCATAACATAGATTGAGCAGGTGAATGCTATGATCCCTTATTGTTAAATCCACTTCAATCAGTGTAGATGAAGGGAAGGAGACAGGTTAAATAAGGATTTTTAAGCCTTGAGACAATTTTAAGCCTAGAGACAACATGTGTGCTATTCAGATGGTGAATGGGCAAGACAAAATATTTGCCACGCGCACCGGTTTGAGTGTGTCATGAACTGCAACGCTGCTGGGTTTTTCACGCTCAACAGTTTCCCGTGTGTATCAAGAATGGTCCACCACCCAAAGGACATCCAGCCAACTTGACAGAACTGTGGAAAGCGTTAGAGTCAACATGGGCCAGCATCCCTGTGGAACGCTTTCGACACCTTGTAGAGTCTATGCCCTGAAGAATTGAGGCTGTTCTGAGGGCTAAAGGGGGTGGGGGTGCAACTCAATATTAGGAAGGTGTTCCAAATGTTTTGTACACTCAGTGTATGTGTCAGTGCATGCATTGGAACTCATCCAGACCCACATTAATGGTAGTGGTAAGAGTGTGAAGTGAATGTGACACTGACTGTGTCCTGTCATCTCCGGTGCAGTTGGCCCCAAAGCCAAAGGAGTGGACCTGGATGCACTGGGCAGTGTTAACGGAATCCCTGTGTTGGAGGTCGACATGGAGTCTTTTGAAGAAAAGCCTTGGAGAAAGCCTGGTAAGTGGTGTGTGTGTTGGTTGGTGTGAGGTTATGTCTTTGTGCGTGTTCTGTGCAGATGTGAGCTCAGGTCTGGCTGATGAGTGGTCGTGAAGCGGTCTGTTCAGCTTTCAGTTATGTTTATGTTTAGGCTCGGACCTCTCTGACTACTTTAACTATGGCTTTAACGAGGACACCTGGAAGACCTACTGTGAGAAACAGAGGAGACTACGCATGGGGTATGAGGGCATGAACCACGCTTCAGCCACTAAAATCATGGTAAGATATCATTATTTTTGGACATACAGTGCCTTCAGAAAGTATTCACACCCCTTGACCTTTTCCACATTTTGTTGTGTTACAGCCTGAATTTAAAATGGACACACAATCTACACACAATACCCCATAATGTCAAAGTGGAATTAGGTTTTTAGAAATGTTTACAAAATTAATAAAAAATGAAAAGCTGAAATGTGTTGAGTCAAGTATTCAACCCTTTTTTGTAATGGCAAGCCTAAATAAGTTAAGGAGTGAAAATGTGCTTAACAAATCAAATCAAATCAAATTGTATTTGCCACATGTGCCGAATACAACAGGTGTAGACATTACCGTGAAATGCTTACTTACAGCCCTTAACCAACAATGCATTTATTTTTTAATAAAAAAGTAAAATAAAACAACAACAACAAAAAGTGTTGAGAAAAAAAGAGCAGAAGTAAAATAAAATAACAGTAGGGAGGCTATATACAGAGGGGTACCGGTGCAGAGTCAATGTGCGGGGGCACCGGCTAGTTGAGGTAGTTGAGGTAATATGTACATGTAGGTAGAGTTAAAGTGACTATGCATAAATAATTAACAGAGTAGCAGCAGCGTAAAAAGATTGGGTGGGGGGGCAGTGCAAATAGTCTGGGTAGCCATGATTAGCTGTTCAGGAGTCTTATGGCTTGGGGGTAGAAGCTGTTGAGAAGCCTTTTGGACCTAGACTTGGCGCTCCGGTACCCCTTGCCGTGCGGTAGCAGAGAGAACAGTCTATGACTAGGGTGGCTGGAGTCTTTGACAATTTTGAGGGCCTTCCTCTGACACCGCCTGGTATAGAGGTCCTGGATGGCAGGAAGCTTGGCTCCAGTGAGGTACTGGGCCGTACGCACTACCCTCTGTAGTGCCTTGCGGTCGGAGGCCGAGCAGTTGCCATACCAGGCGGTGATGCAACCAGTCAGGATGCTCTCGATGGTGCAGCTGTAAAACTTTTTGAGGATCTGAGGACCCATGCCAAACCTTTTCAGTCTCCTGAGGGGGAATAGGCTTTGTCGTGCCCTCTTCACGACTGTCTTGGTGTGTTTGGACCATAATAATATAAATAATAATATGCCACTTAGCAGACGCTTTTATCCAAAGCGACTTAGTCATGCGTGCATACATTTTTGTGTATGGGTGGTCCCGGGGATCGAACCCACTACCCTGGCGTTACAAGCGCCGTGCTCTACCAGCTGAGCTACAGAGGACCACATGATAGTTTGTTGGTGATTTGGACACCAAGGAGCTTGAAGCTCTCAACCTGTTCCACTACAGCCCCGTCGATGAGAATGGGGGCGTGCTCAGTCCTCTTTTTTTTCCTGTAGCCCACAATCATCTCCTTTGTCTTGGTCACGTTGAGGGAGAGGTTGTTATCCTGGCACCACACGGCCAGGTCTCTGACCTCCTCCCTATAGGCTGTCTCATCGTTGTCGGTGATCAGGCCTACCACTGTTGTGTCGTCGGCAAACTTAATGATGGTGTTGGAGTCGTGCCTGGCCATGCAGTCATGGGTGAACAGGGAGTACAGGAGGGGACTGAGCACACACCCCTGAGGGGCCCCCGTGTTGAGGATCAGCGTGGCAGATGTGTTCTTACCTACCCTTACCACCTGGCGGCGGCCTGTCAGGAAGTCCAGGATCCAGTTGCAAAGGGAGGTGTTTAGTCCCAGGATCCTTAGCTTAGTGATGAGCTTTGAGGGCACTATGGTGTTGAACGCTGAGCTGTAGTCAATGAATAGCATTCTCACGTAGGTGTTCCTCTTGTCCAGGTGGGAAAGGGCAGTGTGGAGTGCAATAGAGATTGCATCATCTGTGGATCTGTTGGGGCGGTATGCAAATTAAAGTGGGTCTAGGGTTTCTGGGATAATGGTGTTGATGTGAGCCATGACCAGCCTTTCAAAGCACTTCATGGCTACAGACGTGAGTGCTACGGGTCGGTAGTCATTTAGGCAGGTTATCTTAGTGTCCTTGGGCACGGAGACTATGGTGGTCTGCTTGAAACATGTTGGTATTACAGACTCAGTCAGGGACATGTTGAAAATGTCAGTGAAGACACTTGCCAGTTGGTCAGCACATGCTCGGAGTACACGTCCTGGTAATCCATCTGATCCTGCGGCCTTGTGAATGTTGACCTGCTTAAAAGTCTTACTCACATCGGCTACGGAGAGCGTGATCACATAGTCATCCCGAACAGCTGGTGCTCTCATGCATGCTTCAGTGTTGCTTGCCTCGAAGCGAGCATAGAAGTGGTTTAGCTCGTCTGGTAGGCTTGTGTCACTGGGCAGCTCGCGGCTGTGCTTCCCTTTGTAGTCTGTAATAGTTTTCAAGCCCTGCCACATCCGACGAGCGTCAGAGCCGGTGTAGTACGATTCAATCTTAGTCCTGTATTGACTCTTTGCCTGTTTGATGGTTCGTCGGAGGGCATAGCGGGATTTCATATAAGCATCCGGGTTAGAGTCCCGCTCCTTGAAAGCGACAGCTCTACCCTTTAGCTCAGTGAGGATGTTGCCTGTAATCCATGGCTTCTGGTTGGGGTATGTACGTACGGTCACTGTGGGGATGACGTCATCGATGCACTTATTGATGAAGCCAGGGACTGATGTGGTGTACTCCTCAATGCTATCTGAAGAATCCCGGAACATGTTCCAGTCTGTGCTAGCAAAACAGTCCTGTAGCTTAGCATCTGCGTCATCTGACCACTTTTTTATTAACCGAGTCACTGGTGCTTCCTGCTTTAGTTTTTGCTTATAAGCAGGAATCAGGAGGATAGAGTTATGGTCAGATTTGCCAAATGGAGGGCGAGGGAGAGCTAATAATAAGTTGCATGGACTCCCTTTGTGTTCAATAATAGTGTCGAACATGATTTTGAAATGACTAGCCCATCTCTGTACCCCACACATTCAATTATATGTAAGGTCCCTCAGTCAAGCAGTGAATTTCAAGCACAGATTCAACCACAAAGACCAGGGAGGTTTTCCAATGGTTTGCAATGAAGGGCACCTATTGTTAGATGGGTAAAAAAAAAAGCAGACATTGAATTTTCCTTTGAGCATGGTGCAGTTATTAATTACACTTTGGATGGTGTATCAATACACTCAGTTGCCGGAGAGGAAGGAAACTGCTAAGGGAGGCCAATGGTGATTTTAAAACAGTTACTGAGTTTAATGGCTGTGATAGGAGTCTGAGGATGGATCAACAACATTGTAGTTACTCCACAATACTAACATAAATGACAGAGTGAAAAGAAGGAAGCCTGTAAAGATTATTTTTTTTAAAGGCCAAAACATGCATCCTGTTTGCAAAGTAATACTGCAAAAAAATTGGCAAATTAACTTTTTGTCCTGAATACAAAGCATTATGTTTGGGGCAAATCCAACATGTCACTAAGTATCACTCTTCATATTTTCAAGCATGGTGGTGGCTGCATCATGTTATGGGTATGCTTGTCATCGGCAAGGACTAGGACGTTTTTTGTGGGGGAATGAAAAGAAACCGAATAGAACGAAGCACAGGCAAAATCCTAGAGGAAAACTTGGTTCAGTAGCTTTCCAACAGACACTGGGAGAAAAAATCAACTTTCAGCAGGTCATTTACCTTAAATACAAGGCCGAATATACACTGGAATTACTTACCAAAACGACATTGAATGTTCCTGAGTAGCCTAGTTACAGTTTTTACTTAAATTGGCTTGAAAATCTATGGCAAGACATGAAAATGGCTGTCTAGCAATGACCAACTTATTTTAAATAATGCGCAAATATTATATAATTCAGGTGTGGTAAGCTCTTAGAGACGTACCTAGAAAGACTCACAGCTGTAATCGCTGCCAAAGGTGATTTTAACATGTATTGACTCAGGGGGTTGAATACTTATATAATTAAGATATATTAGTGTTTTTCTTTTCTATTAATAAAATAAATAAACTATTGAATCAATTTACCGTATTTTCCGCACTATAAGGCGCACCGACGTATAAGCCGCAGCAGCTAAATTGAATGATATTGAATGATGTGTACATATATAAGCCGCATTGGACTATAAGCCGCAGGTGTTTTAATGTTTAATTACCATATGTAAGGGTTCGTGCACAGAGGGGATTGTCGGGAAAGAGACAAACTGTCTCGCTCTCGTAATGTCTGTCTGTCTTGCTCTCGTTCTGTCTCTCGTTCTGTCTCTCGTACCACTCTCGGTTCCACTTTTACTTTTGCGCGCTATCTGTCTCACTCTTTTCCGGCCTCCAGCTTTTCCTGCTGGAGCCCGCCGCTTAAAGGTGAGGGGCGCGGACCGGTCATAGAGCCCATAGAGTTAAAGTTGGTGGACTGTAACCTGTAAAATCCATAGATTTAGGAGGTCTTCTAGTGGCCGTTAGCTGTAAAAATCCATAGATTAGCCGCACAGTTATATAAGCCGCAGGGTCGAAAAATGGGGAAAAAGGCGCGGCTTATAGTCCGAAAATTACGGTAATCCCAGTTTGTAACACAGCAAAATGTGGAAAAAGTCAAGGGGTGTGAATACTTTCCAAAGGAACTGTAGATACAATATTATAGATTATCACAGTACAAGTGCAAGAATTGTTCCCATTTTAAGAAACATTCTCAGGCTTTGACATTGTTGAGGCTGTGTGAGTGAGTTGCTCTTCCTCTTAGGTCCACCAGGAACGTTCAGCCCATGGAGATAGGGATGGGGCCCTTTCCTGCTTTAGGTCTGACTACTCCTCCCCCAGCAACCACTACAATTCAGGCTCCTCCAGGTAGGTACCCTGGTTTCCCCCCCACACCCCTTTCTGCCACTGTATGTATCACAGCAGCTGTGGCATGAAGGACCAGACTACACATGTCTGTGGTAACCACTACCAGCCTAGCTGGTCATCACTGCCACACTTCACTGGTCACTGCCACCTGGACACCATCAAGGTGGTCAATGGGTCAAGTTTGTATTGGTCAGTAGTACCTGTGTCTGAGGTAATGTTCTTACCAAACACAGTATTACATCCTGAAATGTTAGAAGTCATGGAAGGTATGTTAAGTCAAGGTAGAGGTGCTGCGAGCGTTGCATAGTTAAACTGCTTTTTTCCCTCTCTAATGAAGTCCTCATGTGCACCACCTCCCGTCACGTTCCTATTAACGGCCACCTGTGAAGCGTTGTTTAGCGTTGGGGCAGGCCGAGCCCTGCGGGGAGCTGCTTTTTTTACTGTGTGAAGAGTGAGGCCATGCAATTTTACTGCTCAATTACAGCGGCCAATCATTTACGGGCTTGGGCCCGTAGTAGCAGGCGTCAGCAGACTGTTAGTAAACACTCCTCCTCTCCTTTCAGCCCCATGGCCTCATTCTGGTTCCACTCAGGGACCAGGTGCTCTACGCCTCAAGGAAGAGTGATGGACTATTACAAACACACACCCACTCCTCCTCTCTCTCTCTCTCTCTCTCTCTCTCACTCTCACTCTAGCCCTCCTCTCTCACTCTAGCTCTCTCTCACACACTCTCTCTCACTCTAGCTCTCTCTCACTCACTCTAGCTCTCTCTCACACACTCTCTCACTCTAGCTCTGGCTCTCTCCCTCTCCCCTCAGCTACCCTCTCGCTCCCTCCAATCCTTGCTCTTGTGAGTTCAGCAGGGCTCATGTCAGGTTGGTCCACACGACAGACGAGGTGACTAAGACGAGCCACTTAATTAAAGGTCTGTCTCTATATAATGCCCCCTCCTCCTCCTCTCTCCCTCAGCAAGGTTCCCCTCAGTGGAGGTCATATGATTCTGAGCGTTATTCAGCCAGAGGGAAAGCAGGAAGTCAGAGCATGACAAACACAAATACACACAGCATTGTGCAGCGGATAAAGTGTTAAACGAGGTCTCACACTACACTACAGACCATCTCTCCCAGAAGGGTGAAAGTGGAAACTTGATGCTTGGTTGAAGGAGCACGTATTGTATTCTTTCCACATTCTCTAGATGACTGTGTCCAGCCTGAGGGAGGGTGTTGGTGGGATGAGGTTATTGTAGGCCTTTCTTGTTACATAAAACTGTCATTTTAATTACATGTCTTTTTGGGAAAGTAGGTGAAGTCGTGATGTGTGTGTCAGCTTCCGTGGCTAAGCTGCTTTGTTTTTTATTTATTTGATATTCTGGTGTTTTTAGAGGCCAGAGTGAGGGACAGCGAGAAGGGGCATTAGTGAGCCTGTAGCTCATAGCATCACATCGGGCTGCTGGTTGATGCAGTTTTTATGCTTTCCCCTTGTAATGTTTACTCTAGATGAAGTCCTAGTGACAGAAAGGGGTTAGTGTCCCATCTGTGTTTGGGGAGGGAGGCATGAGGTGGTGTTTTGGCGAAGTGTTGTTAGCAGAGTGCAGTGAGAGGATGACCCAGATAAGGAGGGTCATGCATTAATGGACCTGGGTGATGGGGGGCGGGGTCACAGGCATTATATAAGTCTTCTACATCTGTAGTTTATGGGATTTGAAGGCAAAAGGCCATACCCAGGTCACATCCTGAAATAAACATGACAAAAACAAGATAAATATGCATACTTGTTATACATGCTCCATGCACAGATACCAATTGTATGTGTTTTGTATGTTTACTCTGTGTTCTGCGCTGGTCAGTAGAAAGCCAAGCAGCACCATTGATGTTATTGGGGGACAAACTGGTACCATCAGCCGGGTAGAGGGACGAAGACGTCACAATATAGAAGGAAATAACATCCAGGTAATGTGTGTCTGTTTTTATGTGTTATTCTAAAATACACCCTGGGTGTTTCTCAATATGCATACTACCATGCGCCACACTCTCATGCTCAAGTGCATTCTCCGAGGACATTCTCTTGAGTACGTTCTTGTGAGTACGAATGTGGAGAAAGCATAAAATATTACATTTGAGAAGCACTTGCACTTCTCCCTACTGTATTGCCTCACCCTGCACCTCCCCATTCACATAACCTTCTTCCAGCCAGGACAATGGCAATAGAGATGGAACAAGTTATACACAAAGCAAATGTTTAACTTCATACTTATCACCTAGCTGTATGTGAATCGTAATAATCTAGCTAACCAGATAGTTTAACAGGTAAAAATGACCTAAAACGAATGTTATGCAAGGTAGATGCCTAGCTGTCAATTCTTCATGGGTAGCTAGCTACCAATTCTTCGTGGCTAGCCAGTTAGCCATATTGACTTTCTATGGGCTTTGACAATGGGTATTGTAGGAAGGTAAACATGCCAAAATGAACATGTTATGTATTTATTAACGTATCAAGATCAAATATTGTAGTCAGGCAGCATATTAGGTGAATGGGCAACATTTCATTCCAAAGTCAGTTTATTTTCCCTCACATCAGATCAAATAATGGCCGGGATTGTTTTCAAGAAATGTTGCTTTGTTTTTTACCCGGTTGCGTCATATTTCTGTGCATACACTCTGAAGCTTGCATCGATGCATGCTTCAAAATACCTTTGGGGATGTAGGGGTATGTGGACACCCCTTCAAATTAGTGGATTCGGCTATTTCAGCCACACCCGTTGCTGACAGGTGTATAAATTCGAGCACACGGCCATGCAATCTCCATAGACAAACATTGGCAGTAGAATGGCCTTACTGAAGAGCTCAGTGACTTTCAAATTGGCACCGTCATAGGATGCCCCGATCAACTGTAAGTACTGTTACTGTGAAGTCGAAACATCTAGCAGCAGCAACGGGTCAGCCGCGAAGTGGTAGGCCACACAAGCTCACAGAACGGGACTGCAGAGTGCTGTAGCGCGTAGTGTGTAAAAATCGTCTGTCCTCGGATGCAACACTCACTACCAATTTCCAAACTGCCTATGGAAGCAACGTCAGCACAATAACTGTTCGTCGGGAGCTTCATGAAATGGGTTTCCATGGCCGAGCAGCCGCACACAAGTCTAAGATCCACCATGCGCAATGTCAAGCGTTGGCTGGAGTAGTGTAAAGCTCGCCGCCATTGGACTCTGGAGCAGTGGAAACGCGTTCTCTGGAGTGATGAATCACGCTTCACCATCTGGCAGTCCGACGGACAAATCTGGGTTTGTCGGATATTAGGAGAACGCTACCTGCCCGAATGCATAGTGCCAACTGTAAAGTTTGGTGGAGGAGGAATAATGGTTAAGGGCGAGGTTTTTCATGGTTCGGGCTAGGCCCCTTAGTTCCAGTGAAAGGAAATCTTAACGCTACAGCCTACAATGACATTCTAGACGATTCTGTGCTTCCAACTTTGTGGCAACAGTTTGGGGAAGGCCCTTTTCTGTTTCAGCATGACAATGCCCCCGTGCACAAAGCGAGGTCCATACAGAAATGGTTTGTCGAGATCGGTGTGGAAGAACTTGACTGGCCTGCACAGAGCCCTGACCTCAACTCTATCAAACACCTTTGGGATGAATTGGAACGCCAACTGCGGGCCTAATCGCCCAACATCAGTGCCCAACCTCACTAATGTTCTTGTGGCTGAATGGAAGCAAGTCCCCGCAGCAATGTTCCAACATCTAGTGGAAAACCTTCCCAGAAGAGTGGAGGCTGTATTGGCAGCAAAGGGGAGACCAACTCCATATTAATGCCCATGATTTTGTAATGAAATGTTCGACAAGCATGTGTCCACATACTTTCGGTAATGTAGTGTATGTACTAAAATAATACTCATCCGAGAAGTGTCCTCCATGCTCCGCTTCGCATACTTTGATTTGGACTCATGCTCCGACCCTCCTGCGCTCCAATTTGCATGTTCACGGTAGTATGCATAGTGAGAAACACCCCCTATCATTCCTTTTGAATTAAGCTAGTAAATGTACCTACCTAGTCTGAGCTTTGTTTTTGTATGTACATGCATGGGTGCATGCATTGCAGGTGCTTTCCGAGCCCCCCTCTGATGCTGAGCCTACTCCCACTAAGATGCCCCCCTTCTTTCCCCCCAACATCCCCCCGCCTCCTTTCCCGCCTCCACCCCACAACGTCAGCTCCGCCCCTCCACTCATTCCTCCACCACGTAAGTGACCTCAGCCCCCCCACACACACACACACACACTGCTCCCTGTCTGGGTGCCCTCTGTTCAGCAGCACAGTTATGTAATGTAGAGGATAAGGTTAAGGATTGCATAATGACACTGTTTGGAGGTCAGACAGACAGACAGACTGGTGAGGGTCACTCTCGTGACATCACGACATGTTGGCTCCATGGAGTCATGGAAAGATGACGTTCAACTATGACATTTCCCACTGTGATTAATTAGTGTTAGTGGCCACAAAATGTCGCTCTGGCTCTCTTTTTCTATCTCTATTTCTCACCCTCATTCTCACTCGCTATCTTTCTTTCTATCTCTCTCTCTCTCTAGCTCTCTTTCTATCTTTCTATCTCTCTATTTCTCTCTCGTGCTCTCGTGCTTTTTTGCTCTTTTTCTGTCTTTATTTCTCTCTCTCTGTCTCAGTCTCTCTGTCTCTGTCTCTGTGTGTGTGTGTGTTGTTGCATCATTAGTACAGCTGAGGGGGGTTTTGGGGGGAACGGATTACAGTATAACCCAGAGAGTTGCAGGTGTAAATCCCATGCTGAGAACCCTTGAAGGACAGGCTTTATTAACCCGCCATGCATCATAGAGCATCCAGCTGTATAAATGACTGATACGTTCACCATGCCAATCTGGAGGAGTGTGTTTGTGAAGCTGCACCATAAGTGAGAATAAATAATACTGCATGTTGAAGGACAGGGTTGAGAGTTGGAGGTGAACGCAGATGGGTTAACATAACATAAATGTGTGGATGTGTGTACGTGTGCGTATGTGTGTGCCCTCTCTGGGTGAGTGTCTTTTCCCCCAGGTGTGTGTAATTCTGTCCAGGTGTGTCAATGCTGTCAGTTTGCCTGACTTCCTCCCCATCTCCTGATGAATATGAGGCAGAGGGCAGGAAGGACCCTCTGGCCTGAGCTCACAGCTGAGCGCAGGCTGCCACCGCTTCATCTTCAAAGATTCCAAAATAGCAGGCCCCCTACTCACCCCTCACACACGCCCAGTTCAATGAGCTCCGTACCGCCTGTTGTTCAATGCGTGCCAAAACTCCTAATACAACCAAAATATCAAACATCCTGGCGACCCTGGCTTTGAAGTGTTTTTTTTTGTAGTTTTATCTGTGCCACTCCTCCTCCTTCTTTAAGTTACAGGCCCTGCCTCCTTTTGTGATGCAAATGTCTAACGTGATAAAAATAGCTCCTGGAAAAAAGAAAAAGTGCAGAGCCAGCAGATTGTGGCACGAGAAATGTGCTGAACAGACCAACCGTGGGGAAAGGGGGAGAGGGGGCTTTGTTACTCTTGGTGCAGTAGGGTCACATTAGCGGTCTACTATTATTCCTTGATAGGGACAGGTTTTAGTGCAGGGTTGTGTTGTCTTTGCAGGCCAGTCTGTGTAGTGAAGCACTAAGGGATGTTGTCTGGAGCTTTAGTGTAGCACTGCTTGTACTGATCAGTGTAATTTGGCACATACAGTGTGGGTAGTTTGACACCTGTACTGACACTGTCCCTGTAAAAGCAACATTGTTATCTGTGTCTGTAGAGCAGGTTTGTGGGTCTGTTATAGTCTCAGCTAACAACAAACGTTCCCACAACTTTAGAGAACGTTCCCTAGGTCATTACCTAACGTTTACATAGGAATGTTCCAGTGATGTGCAAGGACTGTTTCCATGAGACCATTCCCTTAATGTTAAACCGAATTTACCCAGTACGTGGTTACCATGTTTTTCTGAATATTCTATATTAATGTTCTAGACACATTTCATGGGACGTTGCAAGAACAATAATGTGTCCAGTTTTCTGAGGTTTAGGACTATTTCATCAACATCACACAGAATACACACAGAACATGGTTGCCATGTTTTCAGAATATAAGATATTAATGTTCTAGACACATTTCATGGGAATTTTGATAAAAAACATTCCTGTGTCCAATGACGTTTAAAACAGTACTTTCTGTCATGGTCCCCTGGTGGTTTTTGTCTAGTTCCCAGCTTGTCTAGTTCCCAGCTTGTCTAGTTCCCAGCTTGTCTAGTTCCCAGCTTGTCTAGTTCCCAGCTTGTTCCGGGGATGTTCTTAAAGACTTTTTAGGAGGTCACCTGATGGTCTCACCCTTTGTAACGGACATCCACACACAACCAAACAGTGCTTTTAACATACAGTAGGCCTTTTCACACTGCATTGTTCTTATCCCCGGGCTACACTGGCCCTGGGTTAGCGTATCCTGTGTTTACACAAGCATTTGTTAACCCTGGGCTAAGCTATAGCCCTGGGTTAGGATTCACACTTGTATTCCAAAACCCTGGGCTAACGGATAAACACACCATGCGACCAACATCCGTGGTGGTCGGTGCCGTTTTAAGATTAGAGAGGATTTTTTATTTTTTATGAGCATGGCTTTATTTATATTACAGCTTATTGGATGACTGTCATTCATATTCTATTCACCCAGCTCAATGTAACATCGATAGGTTTAGGCTACTACATGATACTCACATTGTCCCTATACCCATCATGAGGTTGCTACAACCTAGCCTACAAATGAAAGTTTATAACGTAGGTGCACAGGTCGAGAGACAAATTTGAGTAATTAAGGTGACAGACAGCAACACATTCAATACAGCATTGCACACACTTGCCTGCATCTAGCTGATCTAGGGTGTAGTCATTAGTCCAAACAATATTATGATTATTATTTTTGGACACAT